TCTCAATGTGGAAGAGTAGCAGGGAGAGTCCGGACACCCTGCGTAGGCCACTTCTTTACATAAATGATGTAATGTCTCTAAAGTATAGACTCTGTCCATATTTGATTTTGTATTTGATTGACATGTCAAGATGCTAATTGTCTTGGCCATGGTAACGCTAATATTAAACACACAAGCTAGCTAAAACACTAAAAGTCTTTCAATATTGGTGAAGAATTGGTCCTTGCCACAATTAAGACTGCGTTGTTGTTACTCTTCTTACATTGAGAAAAAACAAAAAACTGTGGATTCTTGTCTTCTGCCTCCCACTGTTGGAATTAATGGTTGCCGGTCCGCAAAGGGTATGGACTTGTATGGACCGGTACGCGGCAGAAAAAAGGTTGAGGACCACTGCTCTAAATCACTGCACTACTAGTGTCTGTCTACTTTTCTGTTGTGACAAGATTATTCCACTGCATTTTCCACCTATTCATTTTGATTGGTTGGTGATAATTCCAGGGTGAAGCCTGCTTCTCACCCAAAATTGGCAGACATAGACTCTAACTCACCTGTGACCCTCATTCCGACAGGCATTCCAAACAATATTTGGATGTTGGGTAACCAATTGGCAACAAGACTAACAGATTTTTATGTTTCTGCTTCTTTATACAGGAAGTCAGGAGACTTTGGAGACAACTTGGACCACAGAAGCAACAGAGGGCACGGACACCAGTGTAAGCATGCACCACACAAACACATACTTCTACTACAAACAGTGCTTGCAGTATGTACAATATGCACACAATTATAACTATAGTGTTAATGGTTGAGTTGCTATACCTGAAAAAATAACTAATTTCTAACCACATTTTGTCTGTCATTTCGTAAAAGTCAAGCAGTTGTCATATTAGCAGCTATTTTTTTTTTGGTCCCTGTTGCTTTTGCATCAGACCAGACGCTTCCATTATCCATGCTGGTTAGGGTGCCAATGACCATGTTTGTGTATAACAGTGTGTTGGTCAGTCTGGTGTGTGTGTGTGTGTGTGTGTGTGTGTGTGTGTGTGTGTGTGTGTGTGTGTGTTGGCTAGTCAGTGAAGGTGGGATTAGTTTGGTCTCATGACATAACCAGACTAAGAGGATTGTTAGCTAGCCAAACAGCTCCTCCTCATCCTCCTCGTCCTCTCACCTTTCTCACTTCTCCACGATCGTCTTGCGTTGCTTTCTCCATCGTGTGATTTTTACATTTTCTGCAAAGACCAAAACAATTTCAGGTGCGGCTGCAGTTTGGAAGGGTGGGGTAAGTTCAATGTGTTTTTAATGTAACAAAATGTGGTTTTCAATTTTTTTTTCTTTGCTCATCACACCTGGACACCTGATTTTATTTTTGCTAAGCTAATCATTTTTACGTGATAATATTATCATATAAAAAAGTAATATAAAGAAAAAAAATTATGAACCAAAACAAGCTTAGATTGAGTGACTTTTTTTCAAAAAACTAACACCATCCAAGTAAAATTTACTCAAAATCTCTTTGTAAAATGTACTTAGAATTTCTGAGCGAAATAAAAAAGTAAATATCACTCCAATTTTTTTTGGTGTGTGTTGGCGACAGACAGTAAAAAGACTGAAATTCCCAGATGACTGTTCGACCTTCCTTCTTACTGCAAACAGTTGTGCTATAATACAGAAATTAATACATTTAAAATCACATTTAAACTTAACCCCAACGGCTCATGTATTAAATTGATTGCCAGAGACGTAAATAAAGAATATTTATAATTATAGTTTTATAATTGTATGTAGTTGTATGTAAGACGTAAAAGTAAAAAGTATTAAGCTAGCTAGCTATCTTCATTTGAACAAATTATTCACTTGTTAGCTTCATTATGATTAGCTTGTAACGAGCACATGGCTGCCGTATTGCTACAAGTCTTCTTTAATTAATTAATTGACTTTTAATGTCGTGGATGCTTGTTAATGCTCTTGTAACTTATGTTAACCTTCATTATTATTTTAGATACGCTATAGTGGAACGCCATGACTAGAGTTCTTGTTTGCAGTGTCAATCTGACACAAACATCAGCTCCTTCGTCATTATTCAAACTGAGAAACATTCCTGAAAAACTGCACTCATGTGATCAAAGTAGACTTTGATAGTGGGGGAAGATGCTGGTCTGACCTGGATGGCAAAAATGTATTGTGAGGGTCTGTCTGGGAATGTTTGGCAGAGTCCTCCATCAGAAAAAGTTTAAATTCCCACCTTGGCAGAACTTCTCTTACATTCCGGGGAGGCAGGGAACATAGAGTCCGAGTGGACAATGTTACGCACCTCCATTGTTGAGGCAGCCGACTGCAGCTGTGGCTGTAAGGTGAACGATGCCAGTTGTGGCGAACTGTTTGGGGAAACCAGCAGGGAATGATGCTGGCAATCTGAACAAGGAGTCCTATTGGGCATTTGGGTCTGTGGGACTCCAGAGGCAGCTGATGGTTACCGGCTAGCCAAAAAAATGTAACTTTGGTGGTCGCTGAGGCACTTGGGTGTGGAAGGCGTTTGGTGAAGCCATAGAAAACAACCTATGGACAGTTTTGAAGAAATTCTGGTCTTGTGTCTTGGGTTAAATTTATTTCTATGACTGTACTTCCATGCCAAAGCATCATGACTTGAAGTCAAAATTCGCTAAATCTTTCTACTAACTGGTGGGCTGCCAGTGTTCCTCGCAAGCTACACAAAAGCATACTACCATTCAGTTCGCTGCATGACAAATGTGTTTCCTGAACAGAAGAAGTCCTAACCCTATGTACAGAACGCAGCCTCGACACATGGTTTACTGATGGACAAGCGGTAGGTGGTGCGGTTCAAATGTGTGACCAGCATAAGCCATAGCCTGGGGCAGCAGGAATGTCTGAGTTCTGTTATTAGAGATCAGGAGGAATATTTTTACTGGAGGAGCTGAGCATCTGATGCGGTGATGGGGGTGAATGCTGAAGAGATCAATGTGAACAACCTTGTTTTACCTAAATACATACAATGGTGTTTTGACACACCGGAATCGAAGCAAATAAAAACAAATGATTATGCACAGTCATTTGCACTCCTTTACTACAAAGCCACGCTGTTGTAATATGCCCAAACTGTGACATTGGCGTGATGAAATAGTCAGCGATGGATGTCCTTGAAAAAGATGTTACTTGGATGCCAGCATATGGTATGTTGCGCTGAAACCTGAGTGTGTCTTTTCACATTACAGTAGTGGTGCCTTCACAGATGTGCAAATTCCCCATGGCATGGGCACTAATGCACGCCGATACCATCACATGATGATCTTTAAAGTTTGTGCTGATAACAATTGGAATGGTGCTTTTCCTTTTTTGGCCCAGAGAACACAAAGTCTATGATTTCCCTCCCAAATTTGAAATGTGGACTTGTCAGACTACACTTTTTCACTTTGCGTCAGTCCATCTCAGATGAGCTCATGCCGAGAGCCGCTGACTGCGTTTTTGGGTGTTGTTAATAAATGCCTTTTGCTCTGAATGGTAGCGTATTAACTTTGCTTTGTTATTTCAGATTTTGTTTCCAATTCCTGCAGCCCACACACACCCACAAACTGTACCTAGATGACTGATCCAGATTCCTGAAATGTGGACTTGTCAGACTACACTTTTTCACTTTGCGTCAGTCCATCTCAGATGAGCTCATGCCGAGAGCCGCTGACTGCGTTTTTGGGTGTTGTTAATAAATGCCTTTTGCTCTGAATGGTAGCGTATTAACTTTGCTTTGTTATTTCAGATTTTGTTTCCAATTCCTGCAGCCCACACACACCCACAAACTGTACCTAGATGACTGATCCAGATTCCTTTGCGTGCTTGTAAGAGAGTGTGTTTGTGTGTGTGTGTTTGTGTGTGTGTGTGTGCGTGTGCGTGCGTGCGTGTGTGTGTGTGTGTGTGTGTGTGTGTGTGTGTGTGTGTGTGTGTGGCGACCCTTCCACGTAATGGCAACAGAGGAAGGCCTAACATAAGTATCGGAGTTGGGGAGGATTAAAATGTGGTGTGCTGTCAAGGTTTGGATCTTCTAAACACAGTACACACACTGGGAGTTGGGGCTGAGGGACAATTTAACACAGACACATGACACTAGATGACTAAGTTAAACACTCCCAAATTCCATTGCCTTATGAATGAAGTGAACAAAATGAACCAAAGCTAGTTATGGCGAAGAACTGATTTGTTACACTAAACCAAAGACAGCGGAATGAAAACACACACATGGGATGAGTGCTGACAAACACATAACACTGCCAGCCACCGACTGACTACATACAGCCCACCCTGAAAGCAACCGAGACCTTTTTGTTAAAACAGTGATGGTTAATCTTGTCAGGTGGTGGCACACCTGAAACTATTTGCTCATGGGGTCAACCTCCACTGCACTTATTGGTCGGCTGACCTGGGGATGAGGGCCAACAATTAGGAAGGAACAGGGGGCTTGTTCTCACACACAGACAAAGATTAACCCCAAAATCTCCCCCAAAATTAATGGCCAGGAAATACCGTGGACCGTTAACAGTGTGTGTGTGTGTGTGTGTGTGTGTGTGTGTGTGTGTGTGTGTGTGTGTGTGTGTGTGTGTGTGTGTGAGAGAGAGAGAGAGAGAGAGAGAGAGAGAGAGAGAGAGAGAGAGAGAGAGAGAGAGAGAGAACATGATGGGAAAAGTATGTCGCATCATGGGGCAAATGTTCTCCCCACCACATATATAGGTAGGTGTGTGTCACTGGGCAGGTCGAACAAAATTCTTGGACCCATCGCTAATATGAACACATTCTATTTTTACCTTAACTCCTCATCTTACTCACGACACACATCTAAAGGCAGTGGTGCAGTGATTTCCCGACTGAGAAAGTGGGAGAGGTTGAGAGTGTGGAGTTTAGAGGGTGTGTGTGTGTGTGTGGGGGGTTGGTCAGGTGGGTAGGTGAGACTAGATGTCGTTGCAGCAAAAAGCCAACTGCAGCAGCATGACAAGGACTCGACAAGCAAAAGGGTGGAAGAGCGATGGTTCAAATGTACTGAAGACAAAAACAGTATAGGAAATCATTTACATGTACGAAGACTGGATGAAATAAGCGGTCAATTGTGTACCTTTTTAAAAATAAAACATTACTGCTAACTTCAGTAATAACTGATTATTTGTGTCTACATTATATAATTTTGACCCTACACATCATGTGCGACCATACCAAAAACAGACTTCATAAAGGAATGAAGAAAGGGAGGGAGTGAGGGAGTGTGCCTTGCACAAAGAGGAGAGGGAAGGAAGGAGAGAGAGAGAGAGAGAGAGAGAGAGAGAGAGAGAGAGAGAGAGAGAAAGAGAGAGAAAGAGAGGTGTGTCGTAAATCATCAGTTGCGAAATGGGAAAGTTGTAATCAGAATTGCTTTGTTTTTTACGCTGCTACAAGCCTGCAGCATCCTTCGTTGACCAGAAAGCGTAAAGGGCTGCTGTTTGTCCAGAAGTGCGGTCAGGATGGAGTGGAATGAGGTGGATTTGGTGCAGGAATTTACCGTTGAAGGGCAATGCAGCAAAATTAAAGTCCGCTCCTGCAGGATCACATGGGACAGCCTGCAGGTAAATACAGCACGGCAGGAAACTGATTGAGACTGCATGTTAATATCAGTTGGGGAAGGACAACAGCACAGCCTGTGTTGATTGCATGAGCTATGCAAGCAAAGAGTCCCAAAAAGTGCCTTTTCCCTTGCCGTGCAGTGCTTGGCCGTAACTGTAAGAAATACTTGCATTTTATTTTGGATGTTCCAACTATGACAAGTGATTCAGATGGGTTAATATGCTCAGCTTCTACAAAACATTAACTTGTTAAAAGAGCAAGGGTAAGTATGCAACACAGCACTGTGCTGCATTATAAATGGCTTCATGCAGCAATTTACTGAAGTGATACCAATGGCAGAACCTTTTTTTTTTCTCCCAGCCACGCTGACCGTTTTGCATGGAACTATTCAAAAGTAAAGCTCACCAGTTGCTTTATATTTTTAATTATCTTTTTCCACCATATTTTTTCACTTGTGTTACCGTTTCGGATTTGCTAGAGGTCTGTGCTCTACTGAAGGACATTCTGCACCCTTAACCTGCTGGGTTAAATATTCTTTTTAACCCACAATTTTAATGGTGTAGTTATAAGTGGTCATTGTGGAATCGCTATTTTAACACCTATAAAAGTGACCTTAAACTTTTGCACATTGCAAAGCCTTATTTCTGAAAAGTATTTGAGAAAATGGAGGGAAACATAGTCGATAGTGTCGTGGTACACTCTCCTGATGTGTGTGGGCAGCGTGGGATCGGTTCCCACTCACTGGCGGTGTGAATGTGGGTGTGAATGGTTGTTGTTCTCGAGATGTGCCCGGTGGTGTGAATGTGAGTGTGAATGGTTGTTCGTCTCAACATGTGCCTTGTGACTGACTGGAGGCTCCAGCAACCCCCCGCAACCCTGTTCGGGGAAAAAGCGGTGTGGATAGATAGGGAAACGTAAGTGGGTGCATACTTCCGATAAATGGGTCAAACCAGGGTTGCCCATTATGTTGATCGCGATCGAACAGTAGCTCATGAAGGGAGTGTGGGTAGCTCACATGGCATGAAGTCAATAACCCCCCAGGCCTTCCAGTTTTATGCTATTGATATATCTGCCTGTCAATGGCACTTGAGTTAAAAAAAAAAATTAAAAAGTAGGCCCTTGGCTATAATTTGTTGTGAAAATTGTCTCTTGAATGCCAAACACGGCAGCCAATCATATGCCGGTTGCAAGCCTCACCGCGTATGCGCATATAAGGGCGCTACCTAGCAAACCTAGCTAACAAGCATTTTCCATTTTGTTTCATATACTCTAAACTTAATAATAAAATTTAGAAACGATTAGTGGACCTAGTAAGCAAAGTACAGTGTTTCCATACAGAGTTGGCGATGCACTTGGGCACTCACTGGCGGTTTCCCCGGAGCTTCAGAGTGACATGCAGAACAGAGGGGTCATCCGCCAGAATATTGACGCAAGGCCAGATAGCGGGGGCCTTCCATGGCATATCGTGGCTGCCGGTCAGTCTATGTGTTGATGGTGGCAACTGGGATGGCCTGCTGACCGACTGGTGCTTGCTGGCCGGGTCGAAGGAGGGAAATGTGGAGAGGCATTTTAGGGCCTTTGATAAAAACATTCAGTCCAATTACAATTCCAACATGACTGATGTTCATTGGGAGGCCTGTAAAGTTTAGAGTAATGTAAGGACAGAAAATAGACACTAGTTGCATTGTGCAATACGGGTTCATGCATTTATGCACAAAGATATATATTACATATTATTACTGTATATATTGCATTTAAAGAATTCCCCAGTATATTTATTAATGGAACAAATTAATAAAGTAGGTACAGTGGTACCTCTCCTTACGAAATTTATTGGTTCTGGAAGAAATTTCTTAACTAGAAAATTTTGTAAGTAGAGACGCGTTTTCCATGTAAATGCCCTAATGATGCCTAATCCGTTCCCAGCCCTGCCAAAATTCAGACATAAATGTTTTCTAAAGCATAAAAATGAATCAAAATGTATCAAATACATGTTACTATTAGATTATTGCACAATAAATGAGAGTTGTACATCATGTAAAAAACAAAGAACAGAGTGAAGAGTAAAAATGATGATCAATTAACTTTTAACTGCGTCCTCATTGTTTTTTGCCCTCTTTCGTTCGTGTTCTCTCTCAGAAGTGGTTTTGCCTGGCATTTTGTAAAGAACTGATCCAAGAACGTTTGCTTTTGTCAGCTTTTAACAATCCTCGAAAAGGTCCAAGTCAAACATCAGCATAGCGCGTCAACCTCATAGTGCAGAGGTTCGGTTCCAGCTCTGGCCTTCCTGTCTGGAGTTTGCATGGTCTCCCTGGGCCTGCGTGGGTTTTCTCCGGGTACTTCGGTTTCCTCCTACATTCGAAAAACATGTATGGCATGCTGACTGAACACTTGAAATTGTCCCTAGGTGTGAGCTTGAGCGGGGATGGTTGTTCGTCTGTGTGTGTCCTGCGATTGGCGGGCAACCAGTTCAGGGTGTCACCCGCCTTCTACCCGAAGACGGCTAGGATAGGCTCCAGCACCCCCCGTGACCCTTGTGAGGATATGCGGATAAGAAAATGGATGGATGGATGGAAACATCAGCATAGTGAGCGATCGCCCAACTAGTGAACACTTTTTCTGGGTGATTCACATCGGAACGCTTCATGGCCCGAGGGGCGAATGATGAGGACGCTGCATAGACACATATCTATCTATTTATCGATCTACACACATAGACACATACGGTAGAGGTCCCTCTTAGCCAATGGGATGCCAGGAAGATGCCAGATAATAGCCAATGGCAGAGCAGCTTTAAGTATGTTGCGTTCAGGAAACTCGGAGCTGCATGTAGCGGCCCATACTGTATTTTTACCTTTCGTATCTTGAAATTTCTTTGCAACAAGAGGCAATATTTTCCTGTTGAGGCGTTTCGTAACTTGAAAATTTCGTATGAAGAGACATTCTTAAGTAGAGGTACTACTGTATATAATTTTGACATGGTCATCTTGCAGCTGACATGCTGAAAAAGTGTGAACCCCCCTGGGTTAAACAACCAAGAACGAGTCGACTTTAATGTGACCAAATAAGCTAACAGTGACCTGAATTTCTGTATTTTATGGAAATGTAGATGCCCTGCACGACCATGCACCACATCAGCAGTCTGTTGTTGCTGCTATAAATCCTTGGTTGGCTTGTGACTCAGCATCAGGAGCAAATGAGGGTTCACTGTCTGCTTTGGGGCTACATCAAACCAGCAATCTTCTAATTGCTAGACTGCAACACCGCCTGCACTTATGCTGCCTTCAGATGCTGTTCAATTAACAAATTGCCTCCACCAATCTAAGTCACATAAGGCATCTTTGTGTTTATTTAATGAGCAATTTCATACGTACAAGGTTAAGTGGAATTTTGAGTGTTCCTATGTGTATGTGTGTTTTTGTGTGCGTGTGTGTGTGTGTGTGTGTGTGTGTGTGTGTGTGTGCGTGCGTGCGTGCGTGCGTGCGTGTGTGTACGCGCGCATGTGCATGTGCATTTGTGCATGTGTGTCTGCATGTTCAGATAGTTTGTTTGTCTGTGACTTAACATAAACAATAGCAGGATGTGGCTGGGTTGGGTCCTTCCTTCCTTGATATCTTGTATCCAATTCCCTCTCCGTATTTGCCATGACATTCACATCTTTCCAAATCAGGGATCTGATCTGCAAATGTTGAAATGAAATGCTAATGACATTTTATATTTTCATTTCTTTATTGTGCCCGTTATAATCCGTCAAGGAAAATTCAACACACTCTCCTGTTTATTTGTGCTGCACGCCACACACAGTAAAACAGATCACACAAAAGCAGCCATGCAAGAAGAGATGTCAGTGTTAAAACGGTACGCAAAATGTGCCGCCTCTCTAGGGTTTGGGGGGCTTGGGTTGGTGTATGGCCCAAAGATGCTTTGACAGTAGTCAGGAAGCAGACTGGGATCTTTTCAAAAAATAGGGGTCATTTTGTCCAGAGCGGTACTTGAACTGCGATCGGACGTGCTTGTCTGCTTCTTAAAATGTCACACAACAGCAACGGTGTGAGAAAGCATAAACACGTGCTGCAGCCTGACTACGTCCGGGTCACCCGGGCAGCCGTTTGAACACGGCCCTGCTTGTGGCTGATGGACTTGTGCATGGTTTTCTTGGCATTATACAGGCTACCCTATAAGTCGTCTTATATTTGGTGAACAGTAGTCTGTAATTATGTTTTCTTCAAAGAGGGCTGTGTGTATTTTTATAAAAATGAGGACCTATTAAAACAAACAAACAAAGAAAAAAACGCTGGGCCAGGTTGGCCTGAAATGGACCTGCCTGAATTTCCCAGCTGCTCCTTACATATGAGCTACTGCCCCCACATGGTAAATTCAGGCATATTTTGAGCAGTATGATCAGATTGCATTGCAAATGTGCTGTCGTCACCGACAGTGTTCCAAAACTGAAGCCAAATAGAAATCAGGCCATTTTTCCTGGACTAATACGATAACTCTGTCACCCTGCCAAGGCCACCAGCTGCTAACGTAATAACATTTCTGTAGCAAGCCGAAGAAGCTGGATGACCTTAAAATGTGAAGTGGAACGTGCGCAGCTGTTCACTCTCGGCCGGCATTTATCTTGTGTCACTCTTATGGGTTCATCTTCTCAGGAACAACCGCATCCATCATCTGGACTGTGACAGTCTATCACAGATGGACCAATGAGAGTAGAAACACAAAGGAAATAATGTTTTTACTGTAGTAGCGACACACACAATATATATGTAGAGAGAGAGAGAGAGAGAGAGAGAGAGAGAGAGAGAGACAGAAATTGTAAAAAGTCTTTTTTTTTAAAATTAATTGTTTATTTATTTATTTTTACTGTGCCAATTGTGTAGGTTCCCCGTGTGGAGCTAACCCTCTCTGAGCTGCAGGAAATGGCCACAAGACAACAGCAACAAATAGACGCTCACCAACAGATGTTGGTTGCTAAGGTAACTTTTTCACATATATATATATATATATAACACTAAAGATCACTATTATCGTCATTTTATGTCCATATATATATATATATGCACACACACACATACATGCACGCATGCACGCACGCAGTCATTCTCTGGATGGATTGCCTGTCCCTTGGTTTACGGTTGTCTACATCTCGAGTCAGTCTTAAAGGGTCGCACTTGACACCCCACCAGTTACAGTCAAACCGCTGAGAAATGTGTACGCATGTGTGGTGTAAAGATCATGGCTTGTGCATGTATATCTGCCACAAGTTGTCCTCTAAGGGAGGAGTGTCAAACTCATTTTTGTCGTGGGCCATATTTTAGCTACCGTTTCCCTTGGAGGGCCGTTATGACTGAAATCATATCAAGAAGTCAAGAAAAACGGTTTACTCCACTTTTGTTTAAGTTACCGTCATGACGGGTTTGGTCACAAGAAAATGCTTACAATATCCTTCTTATTTATTACAGATGAGAATTTTAAATTTTGGTAGAGATTTCATCTAGCATTATAGAATTTGACATGTTTGATTTGCTTTTGTGGGCCACGTAAAATGAGGTGGTGGGCCGGATCTGGCCCCCGGACCTTGAGTTTGACACCTGTGCTCGCAGGACTGTCAAAAATGAACAACAGTATTTGAGTGTCTTGCAGATAATTTTTTTATGTGTAGCTCATACTTGTGTGGTGGGATTGGAACACTATAGGAAGGAAATGAAGTCATCAGGAAGCCACAGCTGCTGGGATATTCAAAGACTACAGGATGTGGGCCCTCCAGGAAAAGAACGAGTATAAATGCCACATCTCAAGCACATTTCGAGCAAGTTTTATTTTTTTAGATGTGACACTGGGGATGTTTAGATTGTTTTATGTCTGTATTCAAACAGAAAATTAGTTGAAAGAGTGTTTTTCTATCAGCAAGGGGCAACCCATACCTCATTTAATACCTCTGGCAATAGTACGATAGCGTGAAAGATAAGGAATGACAGCACAAGTCCCAACTTTCAAAGGTGCTGTGTGAAGAAATCGCTGCATCGTTTTATGTGTGTAACACATCGCAGCTGTCACACTGCTGTTCAAAAGCTTTAGAATTGGAATAAAAAACTCACAATTCATACAAAAGTAAACGGAACTCCGAGTGTTCAGACAAGTTTTCCTGCTATAAGCCGCCATCATTTGTGTGTGGCATGAAAATCACCATGTACATTTTAGTTTCTGGTTATTTTAAGAACTCGGGGGCTGCCATGTTTGCGCCACATGAAATGACATCGGTAGGTTGTTTGAGATTTTAGATCCAGGGTCTTTTGCTTTTGTTGTTTGTGAGAGCCACCCTCACTCTATTCGTCTGAAGATAATTCATTTACTCTAATTGTGGAATCCCTGTTCATATACAGTGGTACCTCTACTTACGTATTTCTCTTTCATACGAAATTATCAAATTACAAAACGCCACAACAGGAAAATATTGCCTCTTGTTACGAAAGAAACTTCAACATAGGAAAGGTAAAAAGACAGTATGGGCTGCCACTCGCAGCTCCGAGTTTCCTGAACGCAACATACCTATAGCTACTCTGCCATTGGCTACTACCGAGCATCATCCTGGCATCCCATTGGCTAAGAGGGACCTCTTACCGTCTGTGTTTGTGTGTCTAGATAGATAAATAGATAGTATTGTGTCGATGGAGCGTCCTCGTCATTCGCCCCTCAGGCCATGAGCCGTTATGATAGTTCAATCACTCACTATGCTGATGTTTGCCTTGGACCTTTTCGAAGGATTGTTCAAAGCCAACAAAAGCAAACGTCCTTGGATCAGTTCTTGACAAAAGGCAAAAGACACTTCTGAGAGAGAACATTGACTAAAGAGGGCAAAAAACAATGAGGACACAGTTAAAAGTTAAATGACCATCATTTTTATTGTAAGTTCTTTATTCTTTCCGTGTGGCCTGGTCCCCAATGACCCACGGACCGGTACCGGTCTACGACCCGGCTGTAGGGGACTGCTGCACTACGTGATCCAGAAAAGTGTGAAGTGCCACTGTCACATCTGCATCAGGTCAAGAGGAATACCATCTGAAGTTTATAGATTGAACAAGGTGTTCGACGATGCCCCCTCGTGGAATTCTGTGAGATGTTCTCTGCGACTATGGGGTACCAGACCCCTGATACGGGCTGTTCGGTACTTGTCCGACCAGTGTCTGAGTTTGTTCTGCATTCCAGGCAGTTGGATTCGTTTTAAGTGAGGTTTGGATTCCAACAAGGGTGCCCTTTGTCACTGTTCATAACCTTCTAGACGCAGCTGATGCACTGAGGCATTCCAGTTTGGTGGAAGATCTTCAATTTTCACTGGAGTTGGGATGAGAACCATCATCTCCAAATCCGAGACCTTTTTTCGTCATTCGGAAAAGGGTGCAGTGACTGCTACAAGGACGAGCGCATGCCCCAAATCAAGTCAGGATTTCAAGAATCTTGGGGTCTTGTTCACACGTGAGAAGAAGAATGGAGCAGGAGATAAACTGGACAAAGTGGTTGGGGAGGCTGTAATTTGGGCTTCCCTGCTAAAACTGTTGCCCCTGTGACCCAACCTTGGATTAGCAGAAGAAGATGGATGGATAGATCCATCAAAATGACATAAAGCAAAGGTGCTTATTTCCTAACTATTTTAAACAAAACTCTTGACAACAGGGCTGTCACAAACAAATCTTTTTGGAATCAATTATTCCGTCAATTACTCAGGGAATAATCCCCGCATTCCTGCCTTCCCAATTTTTGTAGTGGAGACAAAGCTGGTCCACCTCCTTGACAATATCTGAAGTGCGAATATTTCAGGGATCATATAGAGAACGTGTCAAAGTCGAGGCCCGGGGGCCAGATCCGGCCCACCAAAGGAAATCAACCAACAAAGTGTCAACTTCCATGATTCTTGCTTCAATTTGTTCCGAACTCTCAAATTGTGTATGTAATAACTAACGGTGACATTTTGAAATAATTTTGTTACCCTGTTTACACTCACTTAAGCAATAATTGAACAAATACTTGAGTGACTTCAAAACTAGTGAGTAATCATTTTTTTTATGTACAAGTAATAATGCGATGTGATGATTAAACATTATTTCAGTTTCACTGTCTTAACGGCCCTCCGAGGGAAGACGTAACTCCAAAGTGGCCCGCGACAAAAATGATTTTGACACCCCTGATATAGAGTGTGCATTTTAAACTGAAATATTTTCTCCTCTGTGTTTTAGGAGCAAAGACTGAAGTATCTTCAACAGGAAAGCAGATCCAACCATGGACAAACACAGGTGGGATCCAGATGGCAATTTAGAACGCCAGTTGTGAAGAAAAATATGCAAGGCATGCTCATTTGTGGAGTGTAGTATGTGCAGTTACTAGGAAAAGGATGGAAAACTTTTGGAATTACCTGGATTTGTGCATGAGTTGGTCATAAAATTTGATCAGATCTCACATTTGAAGTTAAGTTTTCTGAAACAAACACACACTTAATGTCCTCATATACGAAGATCGCAAATAATGGGCGCTAAATTGTGTGGTCCCCTCTCAGGCTCACTGCACACCAAGTGATGCGGCTAATGTAAATGAAGTGGATCAAAAAATTATAGTTGGAGACTGTTCACCACACATTTACTCACGTGTTACAAATGAAAAACTGCAACCCTGTATTGTGTTTTAGGCTCCACAAACAAGGCAATATCATATAATGTTATGTGATTTGTGTTCTAGCCGCAGGGACATACTGTATGTAATTACAAAAATAGAAGAAGAATCATCTTTATTTGTCATGCGTGCACACACACACACACACACACACACACACACACACACACACACACACACAAAAATACTCAACTCAACTGTATTTATAGAGCACTTTCAAACAGCCATCGCTGCACACAAAGTGCTGTACATGGAGCAACTAACACAAAATTTGATCTCTGCTTTTGACCCATCACAGTAAGATAAGATAAGATAAGATATCCTTTATTTGTCCCACACTGGGGAAATTTACAGCCTTCAGCAGCAAGATTGAGGGTAGAAAGAAGAGAAAAGAAAACACAGTTCAATTAAGTGCAATATAAATATAAATATGGATAAGGTCAATAAGTTCAATTAAGTAGTGGGTTCAGAAAATGGATGGATGGATGGATGGAGGTCTGCTGATACAGCAGACCTCCATCCATCCATCCATCCATTTTCTGAACCGCTTTATCCTCAAAAGAGTCGCTGAGCGCGCTGGAGCCTATCCCAGCCGTCTTCGGGCAGTAGGTGGGGGACACCCTGAACCGGTTGCCAGCCAATTGCAGGGCACACAGAGACGAACATCCATCCATGCTCACACTCACATGGAGGGACAATTTAGAGCAGGGGTCCCCAACCGCCGGGCCGCGGACTGATACCAGGCCGCGGGTCATTTGGTGCCGGGCCGCACAGAAAGAATAAATAACTTACATTCCTTCCGTTTTATTCATTTTGGAATCTGAAAGATGATTTATTTTGAAAAATTACCGGATTCTCTGTTATATCAGTCTACGGTATGTCACTCAATGCAGATGTGTGCGCGCTTCTCGGTCACGTGATATGCATAAAAAACAAACGTCTTTGAAAAGTTTTTTCGGGAAGGGGAAAAGGACTACCCAGGAGACAGAAGAGGAGCCTACAACTTTCAAGAAAGAGAAGGCTACATTTAATAGACAGTATCAGGAGTCCTATTTCAAATACGGCTTTATCTCAATGGGAGATTCACACGCACCAAGCCTACTCTCCATAATAAGTGGCGATGGTGGTATTTTTCATGCACTTTTTATTTGCGGCGTATCTTATTTTGAAGGCACGTTTAAACGTTACCTTAGCGACCAGAGAAATGCGGCCAGATAGGACGTTCCTCGTGTCATGATTCGTGTTTATTATTATATTTCGAAAATACCACACTTTTCATGCAGGTCATATCGTATTATATTCTTGTATCTATCCGGCTTTAAAGGCCGGTCTCTGAAAATATTGTCTGACATGAAACCGGTCCGTGGGGCAAAAAAGGTTGAGGACCCCTGATTTAGAGTCTTCAATCAGCCTGCCATGCATGTCTTTGGAATGTGGGAGGAAACCGGAGTACCTGGAGAAAACCCACGCAGGCACGGGGAGAACATGAACACTCCACACAGGAACGCCGGAGCTGGAATCGAACCCGATACCTCTGCACTAACCACTGGATCACGCCCTACAGCAGACACACACACACACACACACACACACATAGAGAGAGAGAGAGAGAGAGAGAGAGAGAGAGAGAGAGAGAGAGAGAGAGAGATGATCTGAAATCGTCCATGGTATTATACAAGGCATATAAATAGCTATTTTTTTAAAATCTAATTTTATGCAGTACCTCAATTTAAAAAAAACACATTCTCGTGTGTGCAATGTGGTTATCTAACAGCAACAACAATTGTTCATGCTATCTATGACGGAACACACCGCCAACGTGGTGACGCCAAATTTAAAATATTTTGTAAAATCTTTCCAAATATCGAGGACTCACCTCAGTGTAGTAACTGTTGCTTCCTTGATCCTCTGTTTCCATGGTAGCAGCTCAGAAATTCCATCGAGGAGGGAGGACACTGACAAAGTCGTCAGGCTGGAGGAAATACAAATGTTTGGGGGTTTTGAGACGATCACTCATCGGTGGTGTCATTTGATAGAGACGTTGACTACAGATGACATCACGTCGTTTGCGCGTGTCACAAATGTGTGTCACGACTATTATTATCATCACCACAAATGTCCACTTAATGCATGATAGTTCAAATTGGATTAAATTGAATTCAAATATCCATTCTGTTAACGCTTCAAAACTTCGCAGATGGAAAGACGAGCGCGATTGATCTGTCCCAAGAGCGTCTCTCACACCCCCTACCACCAATGCGCACAGTTCATATTTAAATGACTCATACATTTGCAAAAAATCAATAAATGCAGATATGTTGCTTACGCATTATGGTGAGTGTGAAAATCTGTGAAGAACTATCAACATGTTTAATTTCCTGTATGTGGCCAAACTTTTTGAGAAATAGCAGCCGAATTACTACAAACCTTCGAAGCAGGTTTAATTCAGTGTGGTAACCATGAGTCTCGTAATCAAGTCTTTGGTATCAAGTACTGCCCCAAATAGAACAGATACTCAGCAAAATATGTCCATTCAAACTAAAATCGTCAAGAAATTACTATGGTTATTTAATCTGAAGTCCTGCAACGTTGACGGTCCAGCTGGTAAATTCCCGTTTTCGTATTCGTACGTCACCATCGAAGAGCTGCAGGACTTCAGCAGAGGATACATCAAAAAAAAAAAAAAAAGCAGAGGATACATCAGACGTCCCTCGATTCAAGTCAAGCTAGTCCGTGGAAGCTCCTCGCGCCTCGATGTGCGTTTAATACAATTGAGAATCTTCTCAATATAGCGGCATCAGAACAACCTCGGGTCGCATTCAATGTTTTAAGGAGCGAGGAACTTTACAATCGAGCCTTGGTATGCTTTTATTTCTAAATAGTTCCTGGCAGTGCGTGGTGGCGTGGCATTTTACTTGACTTCCTCTCCCCGATTGGAGAGGCTTCATCGTCGTAGCACATTTAGAGTTCATCTTGCCATCAGAAATTGCTCCAAACAACATCAACACATTATCCTAAAGTCATGTCAAATCACTTATTAAATACGCCAAACAAAAAAACGTATAAATTACGCTCGCGCTGTTTTACACGGCACCTGTTGCCAGCATGAGTGGCTAGCAGCTAGCCGCTCAACGCAAGCTAATCCAGCCGTCGGACTTTCATGTACAGTAATGGTCACGAAGTATAATTATTTTTTACGACCACTAAATGGTGTCATTACGATGTCTTTTCTTTATTTAATCTGTTAACTGTTATTTTATATTCATGCACTTGTTCATTTTATCTGTTGTTTGATTTTATTGCTATTGTTTTTACAGTTGCCAATACTGTGCACTTTGACATTTGTCTCCAAATATGCATTATAAATTAAAAAAATATTATTATTATTATTATTATTACTGTAGCACATTTCATACACATAGCAACTGTGCTTAAAAGAGTGAAAGACATTTAAAAGAAATTTGTGACATAAAAATCCTATTAAAATTACTAAAAGAGCATACGTACAATGCTAGAACAATATTTTGGAACACATAATTTAAAAATGCTTTGCAAGATCTTAATTATGGGTGTAGAAACAATTATAGATTTTAACCTGGATTTAAAAACAGTTAAACTTTACAGTGACAAAATGATTTGAATATTGATCATCCATCAATTCATTTATGATCCGCTTATCCTCATGAGAGACGCAGGCGTGCTGGAGCCTATCCCATTCGTCTTTGAGCAGTAGGCGGGGTACACCTTGAAATGGTTGCCAGACAATCGCAGGGCACACATAGACATAGAACCATTCGCGCTCACAATCACACCTAGGGCCACTTTATTACGTTCAATCAACCTACCATGCATGTTTTTGGAATGTGGGAGGAAACTGGAGTACCCAGAGAAAAGCCACACATGCACGTCGAGAGCATGCCCGAAGACAGCTGGGATAGAATCCAGCACGCCCCGCAACCCTTGTGAGAATAAAGCGGATCAGAAAATAAATATTTGCATATTATTCACTTTGACGGCACTGTTCAACACACATTTTATTGGCAAGAAAGTTTTTGGGAATTTAGATGTTGCTGAATCCGAAAAAATAATGTTTTTTTTTTTAAATGAACTGGCTCTAGTTTTTTATATATTTCATATTTTTGTTGACCAAAAGTGCTAAAAACATGCCAATATTGATAACGGCATTCTCTTTATGCTTCAACTTTGAATCTGACATTGTGTTACCTACAGTGCTACTGTTTACATCACAGATGATTACCGCACATGTGCGCCACAGATTGGCATACGGCCAGGAGCACGGAAGTTCGAGAGAAAAACAAAATGTCAAAATATATACATATATAAATATATATATATATTGAACTGTATTTATTATTATATTGTCAACTATTAAATTGTTGACAATTTTGATCGTCAACAGATGTAGCAAATTGACTTATCTTGGCAGCTCTAACCAAGAAATAAAATCAATTGGCCCTTTCGTCATGTCACAGGTTTACTGGACACAAATTGTGAAGTATATGGACAAAAATGTGTATCTATGATTCCTTTTAAGGAACAATATTATCCGTTCTGTTCGAAAACTGACAAAGACGGTCAGCAGAGAGCAGGCCTACAAACAACCCCAAATATGTGATGCAGCCTTACATTTACAGTAGTTCCCACTTTTCTCTTTTTGTTCAGTCTGAAGCTGAGAAACTGCAGCGGTTGAAGGAGCGAGTGGAGTCTCAGGAGGCAAAACTGAAGAAGATTCGAGCCATGAGAGGTCAAGTGGACTATAGTAAACTGATCAATGGGAACCTCTGTACGCCTGAACATACTCGTACTTTACACTCTACAAAAGTAGTGGATGACAGTAACATCTTAACCAAACATCAACTGATCATGTTTTCTGTGTACAGCGGCAGAGATTGAGCATGTTAGCAGCTTGTTTCAGGAGAAGCAGGCTGAGCTGCAGTCTGCTGTGACTCGGGTTGACCAGGTACCTTGGGGAGAGAGGAGGGGGGTTAAGGAGTCAAGTTCATGTCGCCCCAGGAATTATATGTCAGCTATATTTAAACTGCTTCACCAGCTGACCCAACAACTGGAGGATCTGAGGAAAGGACGCCTTCAGCTGCATTCCGTTGCATCCCCGCAGGGGGCACCCAACCGACCCCAAGGTAGACACACTGGAATGAAAGCATCCCCACTCTCTAGCCCTGCTGCCTTAGAATTGAGGAAATTCTACCAAGAGCTGCAGGTAATAAAACGTGCTTTTGTTCATGCAAAGTTCTTGACAACACGGAAGGATATTTCTCATGCTGTCGTGTCAGGCTCGCAACCGTCACAACTTGGAACAGAGTAGCAAGTTAGCACACAACAAGGAGCTGTTGAACAAGAGGAATGCTCAAGTGACGGTGATGGATCAACGTATTGGAGACCTGAGGGAGCGACTGCAGAAGAAACGAGCAGAAGTACTCTCACGCCTGAAATGTTTTCTCTTTAGGTGACTACCTGCTTCATTCTCTACTTTGCATCTTGCAGTTGAGTCGAATAAATGGAGGAGGCCCGCATTCTCCTCAAAGCTCCACTCGTCCGAGTGGTGGAGTCTCAGGCCGAGTGGCTGCCGTCTGCCCTTACATCCAAGCTCCACCTGAAGGGGGACAGAAGGCGGGGTACCACCTGTCACCTGACACATCCCCCAAACCCTCACAACTCAGTCACATGCGCTCCCTTTCAGGTGGGTACAAATTATTGTTGAATCGCTCACAGAGCTGCATAAGATTTCTTCCTCTGATACCTGCCAATTCTTTAACTGGCTACTTTTCTGTCTCCTTTTCCTGTTTTTTGCCTTCTTCCTGTCCTTTTTGTGTATTGTTGTTTTCATTTTCAACCCCGGCGTTAACGTTCATGGTTCCTGTTCACTTTATCACTCCATTATGATTATCGTTTGTCACTCTCGCTGTAATGTGATGTCATTTCAATGTCCTCGTATTACCCATAACTGTTGCTGTGTGGTCCTGTTTTCATTACTTGTGTCCATGGTTGTCCCGTTGCTTGTGCTTTGTGGTTGTTATTGTGGCCGTGGGTGTGCTCATGCAGACGAGGACAAGAGTGGCATCAGCAAGTCTCCCAAGCAATGGAAAGTGTCTGATTTAGACATCACCCTGTCAGAGCCAAATGACTTACGCCCTAAGTCTCCTCATGGGGACCAGAGTAACAACAGTGAGTTTTTAAGGCAAAAAGGTTTTCTGTTTTCAGGTCATAGCTCCTCACTTGTCCATTTTTATCACGGCCTGTCAATGACATGAATTCCAAAATACAAACCCTGTTCCTGTGAAGTTGGGACGTTATGTTAAACAATGATTTGCAAATCATGTTCAACCTATATTTTATTGAATGCACTACAAAGACAAGATATTTAATGTTCAAACTGATAAACTTTTTAGCAAATAGTCATTAACTTAGAATTTTATGGCTGTTAAGTACAATTGCAAGGAATTTAGGGATTTAATCATCTATGGTCCATAATATCATCAAAAAGTTAAGAATATCTTGACAAATCACTGCATGTAAGCGGCAAGGCCGAAAACCAACATTGAATGCCTGTGACCTTCGGTCCCTCAGCCGGCACGGCATTAAAAACCAACATCAGTTGTGTACCACATGGGCTCAGGAACACTTCAGAAAACCAACGTCATGCTGAAAATGTGCACACGTCTGCTACAAGCTAAATTTTGAAAGCCAACACGAAGCTGTAGCGTCCATTGACAAAAAGAGATTGGCTCACATCTCCTGTCCCACGTAATCCGCTTCAAGTCCAAGCCGCGACTCCCAGTTCCATATCCGCATCGGCGCTCTGCGCTGACGCTCCTTTCTTCTCATCGTCGACTCCTCAAGCCTTGCATCCATCCAGCCGCAGACCGTCCAACAGTACCGATCTCTCGGCTGAACAAAGCGGGGCTGTGTAAAAAACACAAGCGCCCCAGAGCTGTCTAGCAATGACAGTCAAATGGCACCGACATTCCTCCCAATCAAAAACAGTGCTGGTATACCCATGCTGCCGAGAAGGCGCAACCACCAAGCACCGAGTCTCCTCCTTGATGAATGTTGTAGCCATAAAATGCTGAAGAACAATCCACATCCGGTCCACACGACGCAACAACAAACACAAAGTGACAAAACAAACACAAAAAAAAAAAAAAAAAAAAAAAAGGCTCATGAGTGCCGACGGCTGCCTACTCGGGCGCCATCTTGAACTAAAAGCCAGTATCTGTGATGGTATGCGGCTGTGTTAGTGCCCATGGCATGGTTAACTTACACATCTGTGAATGCTGAAAGGTACATTCAGGTTTTGGAGTTACATATGCTGTCATCCAAGCAACATCTTTTTCATGGACGCCCGTGCTTATTTCAGCAAGACAATGCCAAATCACATTCTGCACATTTTACGACGACGTGGCTTCGTAGTAAAAAGCGCCGGTACTGGACTGACCTGCCTGCAGTCCAGACCTGTGTCTCAGTGAAAATGCATGGTGCATCATGAAACCTAAAATACGACAATGGAAACCCGGGACTGTTGAATAGCTGAAGCTGTAAAAATCAAGCAAGAATGGGAAAGAATTCCACCGACAAAGCTTCAACAATGAGTGTGTTCACTACCCAAATGTTTATTGAATGTTGTTAAAAGATAAGGAGATGTAGCAAAGTGGTAAACATGACCTGTACCAGCACGTTCGGAATGTGTTGCAGCCATAAAATCCCAAGTCAGTGATTATTTGCTAAGAACAAAGTTTATTAGTTTGAACATGAAATATCTTATCTTTGTAGTGTATTCAATTAAATCTAGGTGGAGCATGATTTGCAAATAATTGTATTCAGTTTTTATTTGTGTTGAACGCAATGCCCCAACATCAATGGAATTGGGTTTGAATGTGCATAAACTCCTGCGCTTAAATTCTTATATTCAAACTGTATGTTCATTGTAAAGGAAGCAGATGGTTATGAGACATAACATTGTCACCTTATAATGTGAAGTCCTTGTCTACAAGAACACCACCATATTTGATAGCCAGCAGCTGGTTGATGTTTTGTACCACACATACACGCTCACACTCATTGTATTTTTATAATGAGCACATTTACTTTGATCAAATTCTTCATGTTTCCAGAATTCAGATTCTGATTTTGTTCTGGTTAAAATCGACTTAAAAGGTGTGGTCCTGAGGTTGGTGAAGTTGTCTTCAGAATTATAGGTGTGTTGAAAAACAGAGCAAACCTCACGATCATCATAATAGCTTTTAGTTCCATGCACATAAATGTACACTATTGGGAATACTTCAAATTATTAATCAAATCAAAACATGAAAAACAAATTTGCGAGTGTTTTATTCCTTCATACAAAATGAAAAGAGAAAATCCAGCTGTTTGAAAACCAAATATGTCTGCCTTTTGCTTTACGTTGACTGAATAATACAGTATAATACAATACATTCTAATTGATATAGCACTTTCACAACAGCTGCAGCTGTGACAAAGAGCTTTACAAAACAGTTAACATCGATTAAAATAAACACACAACATAACATAAAAACACGGACAGTAATGCAGTCTTAACCGCTTTTCCCTCATGCGCTTTGTTGTGTGAAGCAGTTCTAGATGAAAGACGAGAGAATCCAAGTGTCCTTTCACCAGTGGATCAGAGACGTCATGCTCAAAATGGGCATACATCTGCTACAAGCTATATTTGAAAGTAAACAAGAAACTGTAGCATCCATTGACGAAAAAAGTGATTGGTTCACTTCTCATGTCCCATGTAAGTCCGTTTCACTTCCAAGCGGCGACTCTCAGTTCCAAATACGCATCCGTGTTCCGGGCTGACGCCCCTCCCTTCTCATCCTCGGGTCCACAAGCCATCCATCGAGCCGCACCAACGCAGACTGTCCAACAGCACCGCCATCTTCGCTGAACAAAACGGGGCTGTGAAAAATGCTGCTCCTTACAGGCGCAAAAAACACAAGCGCACAAATGGCACACCATTGAAGAAGCATGCCCTCCACTCCAGCTGGTGCTGTAAACAAAAACGAAGAGAGCAGAATATGACATAGCAAAGATTTGGGGCCTGTGTCATCTTCAAGTATTCTGATCGATTCAAACAGATGAATGATCCCTTTATACAATAGATAGGATCAAAACCACAAGATGAGTAGTCCACAGATGTGTCATATCGCTTGTCTCGACCATAAAGTCTCAACTCTATGAGTGGCATATGTATCAAGCATTACCTGAATATTCATTTTTTAAGCATTTAATGTAGAACAGCTGGACAGTTGACCAACGCTTTTGTCTTGTTACTTCATTGCTTTCCTCACACTGTCACAGCGGCAGACAAAGTGAGTTTGACCATTTGCACGCCGGAGAGGACACGAAAATACACCGGTTAGCTTGGTGTGTGCTATCAGCTTCGATGACAAATGGATGGATTGAAATTAGTCCAAAAGGATAAGCGCTTTCAGGAAATGGATGGATGGATTTTTGTAAGAACACCCTGGGTTTTTCTGCCATTTCAGTGTACGGTGGGGGATCCTGGTGGCTCAAGTAGAATTTAAGGCTTGTCAAAGCGCTTTGGACAACATATGGCTTAGTGTCGGTACTTCCTGTCCGACTGCCAAATCTGCATACCCACTTCCCTCCCTCCCTCACTAACTAACTAACTCACTAATATTCCGTGGAGAAAAACATTTGCACGAATCCAACCACAGGATATCAGCACAGAGAAGGCAGACTTGGACCAGGACTTTTTTTTTTTAATCCCATTGTAATCTTAAATGCCAAAGCAAATGCCACAGAGTTATTTATGGGCCTGGCTTGGGTGAAGTAGAAACTATGGTGTTGTAAATCATGTCAACAGGCTACTGGCACACACGTACACACAATTAGAGGAAGGTCAAATAACTCCTAAGCTTTTGTATCTACGTTGTGCAATAATTTGTGCAGATGTTTTCAGATCACTGCATTTTTTTTTTTTTGTAAAGTGCAGCATCGTCGTATTAGTTTTGATAAATATTATACAGTAGACACGTCTTTTAGTGCAGTGTACATTTACAAACTAACTAACTTACTAACTAAATACTGCGTGCAATCTTCTTGAGCTAATGTTCCCAAAAAAAAAAAAAAAAGTTACAAACCATGCATCCCCTCTGGAGTCCTGGGTTATATCAGCAGGCAACGTTTGATAATGTTTCCAAAAATAAACAGTCTTTGGAACAATAGGAATAAATTGATAATGCCTAGTCACTGTTTAGTCTGTGTTTTACATCATCCGGCAGCAGTATACTGCCATATCACATAATGTAATTTTAAAGACTGCATTGTTCTTTTAACTTTTAACTGTAATGTCTACTATGATTTTATATTTGTCATTGGATGAAGAGACAAAAAAAAATAGTGTCAACATGTAGTCTTCTACAGGACAGAATGTGATGACAAGTGCTGCAGAGTGATTCCCTATCTGGACTTCAAGGCAGATAGCCAATTTTCCAAACTGCGCAGAGCTGACTGTTTACTTCCTGTTGTCACTTCTTTCGTCCTGAGGTCAGCGAGATAGTGCAGTGGCACTCAACATGTTGTGCAGCTGAGCTTACCGACCACAGGACTCAGTACATAATAAGTATTAGTCTGTATCAGCACGGTGACATGGTTGTACTGTACACATGCGTGCCAAATGGTGAGATAACACTGCTTAAAATGATCCTTGACAATGGGGACTTGTTGTGTATGGAATGGAATTGTAACAACAACAAAATGTACTAGTATGAATTTTTATCAAATTCCGTATTTTGTCCACTATAAAGCGCACCTAAAAGCATTCAATTTTCTCAAAAGCCGACAGTGCACCCTATAATCCAATGTGCCTTACATATTAATGACAGCTGCAGCGGTTGTAAAAGCTCTATATAAATAAAGCGGTATTGTATTATATTTCCTTTAGCGTAGCTCCATCTAATGGATGCAGAACGCAACTGCAGCCACTATTGTAGCTTCTATTCTATACAACTTATAATGCGGTGCGCCCTACATATGAAAAAAGTTTTAAATTGGGCCATTCATTGACGTGCGCCTTATACTCCGAAGCACCTTATAGGAAAATACGGTACATATTTTTTTTTTCATGACAACACGCAAATGCTACACAAAGATAGTTTTGAGCAAATTTATTCATGAAGGATGGGACCATTTATCCCCTGAATTCAGCAGCCATAAATTAAGAGTGGAATGACTGGTGCTATCACTAGAGTTGCATTGCACTGTGCCAGACAGTTATGTAACTCCACCAGCATGGAGAGAGAGTCTCAGTTAAATTGTTCCACTGCAAAGAAAACAAGCCCTGATTAAAAGGTCCCAGTGGCCCTTGTGCATCCCATCCTGCGGACTGGGGCCCCCTGGCTCCTTATCTTTAGCCAGCAGTCTTGAACTTGGGTCTTAAACTAGTTAGTGATTTTAAATTGAACCGGCGAATTGGTGCCGTTGTTAAATCCAGCTTCTTTCATCTTAGGCAGCTGGCTAAAGTAAAACCTTTCCTTTGTCATTAGCACTTTGAAACAGTCAATCCTCCATTAAGCATCTCCAGTTGGTCCAGAATGTTGCTGCTTGCCTCTTGACTGGTATTCATAAGTAGGAGCACATCACTCCTACTCTGGCATCCCTTCACTGGGTCCCTTTATATTTTACAGTTCTTTTTAAGATCCTATTATTTGTTTTTGGATCTTTAAATGGCCTCACTCGACCTTGAGCTCCTTCGTCCCTACGCGCCTGCCCGTTGCCTTAGGTCTGGGACAAGACATCATTAGAGGTACCAAGACCTAGGCAGAGGCTCGGAGCGCATAGAGCCTTTTCCGTTGCTGATCCCTCTCTTTGGAATGGCCTCCCGTTGAACGTTAGGCAAGCCTCCTCTTTGCCCATCTTTAAAACTCGTCTTAGAAATCCCTTTATTTTGGGGTTTTGAAACAGCAGGAGACTTGATTTTTAGATTTACTGTTTTTGTGCTTTCTACTGTCGTTATTAATTTATTGTTTGTTGTTGTATGTATGATCTTTGCTCCCTATACAGCATTTGGTATACAGCGGTGGTGGTTTTCAAGTGCTCTATAAATACAGTTGAGATGACCGTTAATTGAGATAGATTTTAATGTTGTCTATATTGCATCGCATAAGATTTAAGCATACTATGACAAGCTCTACAAATTGATGTTTGAACAGCTTTTGGGAAGTTGCTCGGTTGTTTTTGTGCTTCAGCATCAGATAACCTTAACCTTCGACAAATTAAAAGTACTTGGTGGCCTCAGTGTCAGACCTTTAATTTCAGATTCTTGTTGTAAATAACTGAGGATACACCAGACCCACACTGCTTTATTGCACACATGTACAGTCTGTCCTTGACTAGATTTCAGTGCCTATCTTGTCAAACACGGCTACTAATCAGGCGGCAAGTAAGTCTACATGGCCCATTCAGTGTATGTATCGTATCATGTGACTTCCAATGTATGCCAACTTTTACTCCATGTCTTCATCCCCATTTCTCACACTTGATCTTATTTTCACAATTTTTCAACCGCTTGTTTTTTTTTGTGATGCTGTGATATGAGCAGTAGGTCTTCTAACCTGTTGTCTGTCTTGTCGTACAGCCAGTGAAGCATCGGGGCCAATGATTGGTAAAAATGGGTCGAATTGGAGGACCTACAGTGCAGAACAGGTACGCGTTATAGGCATGACATAAGACCTGAGACATACCCACACCATTAGATGTGAAGGGAGAAAAAAAAAACCTGAAATGCGTCTGTTGCTAAAAAGACAAAAAATCTACGACGCTATAGCTTTAGTTTTAAGTGTTTACTCTCAACTACCACAGGGTCCATCAGTGACCGCTGACTTTCCTGATGCATTTCTTCATGAATGTGCAAATGTCAGACACCTTGTTGAAAGAATTCCCAGGACAATAGAAACTATTTCAAGAAAAGAAAGAGTCAATTTTCAATCCATGTCTGTGCAATGGTCAAGTTAAAATTTCCCACTTATGTGAATGTTTGACAAGAAATGCTCAAAAGAAGATGCTCATGGTTGGCTGAGTTTTGGTTCCTGTTTTTTTTTCTTTTCTTTTTGTCAGCATCTTCCTTCTGGTTATGGCACTTACCCCAGCACCAGCCACCAAGTAGCAGGGAATCACTGCTCCACCAGCTCCCTGCCCCGATCTGCTCCTGGCACATTGGGATGGCCCCGATCGAGCCCTGTGAACGCCACGTCATCTTCCTCAACCTCTTCCTCCTCCTCTTCACAGCAAATTCAACAACGTATTGCTGTCCCTCCAACTTCAAACCAAGGTAACATCCGACCTGATGTTTAACCAAACATCCCCATTATAGGCAAGTGAGTGAAACCACATAAACCAATCATTGTATACTTTTGATAGTCTACCAATATGTGATTTAAAAAAAAAAAAAATGTTCCTGACATCTGTACCTGAAGCCATCAATTTGTCTCACCTGATAGGCTCGAACACTGGCTCCCAGCCTTTGTCCTTGCCACCTCAGAGCGAACGAACAGATCCACCTCCAGCAGTGGCTGTACGTCCTTACGTCCCTGACCATCCATCCAGGCCGCAGTCTCCAAGAAAGGGCCCTGCGACAATGAACAGCAGCTCCATCTACAGCATGTATCTTCAGCAGCCTCAGGCTAAGAATTATGGCTCACTCAGCAACAGGACCGCTGTTAAAGCAGGTAAACTAAACAGTAATAAAAGACAAATCCAGATTCTTCGGTCTTTTGAATCAGTTCCTTTCTGCCCCAGTCTATGGGAAACCCATCCTGCCGACCTCCTCCACATCTCCATCCCCTCTTCCTTTTCTCCACGGCGGAACAAGAACAGAAGACGCTACAGACAAGGAAGGAGTAAGGGGAGTTGGAGGAGAACCCATCGATGGGTCAAATTTACCGCCTCCGAGTGTGGACAACATTCCTCGTCCTCTCAGTCCTACTAAGCTCACTCCAGTTGGTAGGTTGCACAGGATAAAATCAGTGATGTCCCGCTACCTGCAAACATTAAGAAGTTTCATCACTTGGTCACAGAACCCCATTTTCTTGTGATACAAACTCCCACTAATCTAACCCACGCACTGTATTACGTGCTCTACGGGTTACAGTCAGTGGTACTAAAGAAACGACAGGAAGCAGAGCTGGAGGTGGCGGAAATGAAGATGTCGAGGTTTTCTTTTCGATCCACCAGGTTGGGTTGGATTACAAAAATGCTTAGCAGAGGGAAAAGCTGAAAGGAGAAAATCTCCACGGCGGAACAAGAACAGAAGACGCTACAGACAAGGAAGGAGTAAGGGGAGTTGGAGGAGAACCCATCGATGGGTCAAATTTACCGCCTCCGAGTGTGGACAACATTCCTCGTCCTCTCAGTCCTACTAAGCTCACTCCAGTTGGTAGGTTGCACAGGATAAAATCAGTGATGTCCCGCTACCTGCAAACATTAAGAAGTTTCATCACTTGGTCACAGAACCCCATTTTCTTGTGATACAAACTCCCACTAATCTAACCCACGCACTGTATTACGTGCTCTACGGGTTACAGTCAGTGGTACTAAAGAAACGACAGGAAGCAGAGCTGGAGGTGGCGGAAATGAAGATGTCGAGGTTTTCTTTTCGATCCACCAGGTTGGGTTGGATTACAAAAATGCTTAGCAGAGGGAAAAGCTGAAAGGAGAAAATGACTTGCAAATGTTCCACTAAATTCTGACATAGACAATGATGTTCAGTTCTATTTAGTCTCACAGTTTTTTGTGTATTTTTCAGGAGGCAAGGCAATTTTATTTATGTAGCACATTTCATGCACAAAAGCAATTCAATGTGCTTCACACAACTACAAGCATTTACAAATACAACTGTGAATGACAATCAGAAGCAAAGCAAGTAAATAGCAGCTTAGAAAAATTAACAGAATGTAAATTGACACCATTTAAACACAGGAACAGAAAACTTAAGATTAAAATAAAATTAAGAAATAAAAGTAGATTTTTAAAATAAGTCAAAGACAAAACGAATAAAAATTAATTGGAGGAACTTAATTAAAGCTATGGGGGGGAAAAAGCAATGTTTGGTATTTCCCCCTGGGATATGACTTCACTTCTGTTGGCAGTTTATTCCATTTGTGTGCAGCATAACAGCTATATGCAGATTCACCATGTTTACTTTAAATTTTCAGCTCGACTCCACTGAGGCTAATTTTATATTCACTCAGCATTTCTTTCTTATATTCGGGATTCAGACCATTCTGTGATTATTAGACCAGTAGCAGAATTTTAAAATCGGTTCTGCTGCTAACTGGGAGCCAGTGTAAAACCTTAAACACTGTAGTAATATGGTCTGACCTCTTTGTTTTGGTCAGAACACAAGCTGTAGTTTTCTGAATGATTTCTGCAGCTTTTTGATGGTCTTTTGACGGAATCCAATAAGAAGACTATGACAATAATCAATTCTACTGGTGATAAAAGCATGGATAAGTTTCTCCTGGTCTGCTTGGAGGATGCAACTAGTCTGGATATTTTTCAGCTGGTAAAAGGCTGTTTTGGCGTTTGATTTGATATGATGGGTGATAGGTCTGAGTCAGCAGCCCAAGATTTTTGACTGGGATTTTGGTTTGGAAAGACGGTGTCTCCAGGTGTTTTCTCAGAGAAATATTTTTTTCCCCCCATTATTGCCAAAAACGATTACCTCCATTTTGTTTTGGTTAAGATGAAGAAAATGTTAGTTCATCCAGTTGAGATTTGCTCTAGACGTTGACACAATATGTTCATTGAACTGATGTCATTCGGGGAATTAATAAATACAGCTGTATGTCATCTGCATAAATGTGACAGCCAACATTGGCTTTCTGAAGCATTTGACCCAAAGGTAACATGTACGGGCTGAATGGTAAGGGTCCAAGGCCTGACTCTTGACGGACCCCAGTTGTCAAGGTCATTCAACCATATTCAGTCGAGTGGATCTACCCTGCATCCTACTGGCTGGATGAATGGTTTTATCATTTTAAAAGCAGAATTTTGCTTGTCGTTCTCTGTTTGCATCTCGTAGTAGATAAATTGGTTTACCTAATGTGTCCATCAGATGGGTGTTCACTAATGCAAAAATCTTGGTAGCATCAGTTACTTATGAAATTCACAAACAAGTTTCTTAATATTTCTATGATACCCTCTGTTTTCAGCCCACTCTCAACTACGCTATCAAAACGATGCTGACCTGGAAGTCCTTCGCCGACGTCTCAGCAATGCCCCACGGCCTCTGAAGAAGCGGGGTTCGATTACTGAACCTGAGGGCCCACAGGGGCCAAACATTCAAAAGCTACTCTACCAGAGGTTTGTGCGGAACCCCTTTCTATTTTCTCTGCCTAGTTTTAGTCGTCCATATTGAGGGTTGATTGAGTGGTCATTTTTTGTCGTGATCTGCAGGTTTAACACTTTGGCTGGAGGCATGGAAGGGGTTTCAGGTAGGATTTTGTCACCTCAGTGACTCTCATCTCCATAATACAGTACATCATGGTTGAATAGTCAACATAGCACACTCTTTATTTTAGGCAGTACTTTCTACCAGCCTGATTGTCTTTTGAGTGACATGGACAACATCCAATCTGCCAAGGGGAATGTCGAACCATGTGAAAAGCATGCCAGCTTGACAACAGAGGACGCAGAAGTTCAAAATTTGAACTTGGACTGTCGCCACTTATCACCGGGGGCCATTGAAACGGCCACCACGGGAGAAGTGAGAGAGAATGGGTCACCACAAACGAACCTTGCCTCAACACCTGTGAAGTCTGAAGATCAGAATAATAATCAAAGCAGTTCGAGTTCGGCCCACAGCGTGACAAGTCAGGCCTCCACTTCACCATCACCGCCTACCCCACCTTCAAAGCCGAAGGTAACGTATTGCGCCTTTTGTTGCTGTGAAGAGTTAATACGGTCCCCGCATGCTCGCGACAGGAACAGGGTTATGTTTCACAAACATTGACTTTGTCTTCCATTTCTACTTCTTCCATTTCTACTTCGACTGTCTTTATCCAGTTGGCTTTTGCTGCATTACCACCAGTGGAAAAAAGGGGGCAATAATTGCAACACCATTGGGGAACAAGGATTTTTTTTGGGGGGGGGGTGCCAGTGCCAACTCAAATGTTAATATATACAAGTTGCACCTGAGCATAAATTGCAGGAGCAGCCAAACTATGAAAAAGGCTGTGATTTGTCGTCTGAAAAATACGCGATTTAGATTTATTCTCAAAAAAAAAAAAACCTATGACTTCATTATTGCTGTACCGGTAATTTATTTTCTATTTTTGATTGTATTATGATTTGATTCTCATGTTTCACTTCTTAAATTACAATTTAGTCTCTTATTTGCGTGACCTATTTTCTCGTCATGGTATGAAGTTTACTACTGCTGCTTATTGAGCTGCTAATGTTGTGTTGTCTTTCTACCTGTCTTGCTTTCTTATCAGGTGAAGCGAACCAACTTGAAAAAGCCTTCATCAGAGCGCACGGGACATGGGCTGAGAGTCAAGTTTAACCCTCTAGCTCTGCTGCTTGATGCATCGTTAGAAGGAGAGTTTGATCTGGTGCAGAGAATTATATATGAGGTAAATCGCAGCGTTGGTATTGTCTTATTTTAGTAGGACAAATCAGCTTTGCATTTCATAAAAAGCACAACACAATGTGCATAGAGTTTTGCAATGAACTCCATTCTCTTCCACTATCTGAGATTGGATTGCAGGGGCAATACCTTTAACAGGGAAGTTTAGACTTCCACTTGATCTGGCTTCTCTCAATACAGAGAAGTAGCGGCTCTACTCTGAGCCCCTCGCAGATGACCGAGGTTCTTACCCTATCACGAAAGGAGAGCCCGGACACCCCGCTGGGGAAACTCAATTCATCTGTCTGTATGAACTGTGTTGCAAAACAAAAAAAAAAGAAAGAAAAAAAAAACTCCTTTACTGAATTTACTTTAAATGATGAGGCTACTGAGATGGGTCATGGGAGCATACCTTGGATCAGATCATGCATCATACTATACCTTTGTACAATTGAAAATGATTGTTGAGGTGATAATTCTTCGTCCAGAGGAGAATCTATGAACAATCACTTACCCGACACTTGTTTTGTTTTGTATTTTCACCTGTCCTATTCGGCTGCTGCGGGTCTATAAGCCTTTTCATGCAAGAATGGTTTTGCTGAGCAACGGTCGAGTTCTATTTGTATTGTGATGGATATTTACTGGAAATACGCTCAGAGAGAACACACTTTGATAAGAGACAAACAGAGAGAAATGAGACAACAGAGCAAAAAAAACAAAACAACAGACTAATGTATAAAATGGTACATGACCTGGGTTGGATTCTGTGTGTTATATGGGCTAGGACGGCAGTGCCACACACTGCAGGAAAGCAGCAATGCTGCGGCCAACTGTTGGCCCTCAGTCTTCTCACTAATGCAATCCACAGCGCCCCTAAAACATGTATGGACTGTATGTTGTGAGTGGGCTAGGGAAAGGAAGGGAGGCAAAGTCCAACAATCATTGTGTCCTTTCAAGCATGCCCCAGCCCACCCAAACTGTATCATGAGTGTATACATAGCAGGCATTTAATTCTGGTCTCTAAATCAGCGGTCCCCAACCTTTTTTGCCCCATGGACCGGTTTAACGTCAGATAACATTTTCAGGGACTGGCCTTTAAGGCCGGATAAATCCAACAAAATAATATGATATGACCTGCATGAAAACTGGTATTTTCGGAACATAATAATAAAGACGAATCATGGCACGAGGAACGTCCGATCTGGCCGCAACACTCTCTGGTCACTATATAACGTTTAAACCTGCCTTCAAAATAAGATACAAAGTGCATGAAAAATACAACTCACCATCGCTGCATATTATGCAGGGTGGGCTTGGTGCGTTTGAATCTCCCATTGAGATAAATCCGTAGTTTAAGTAGGACTCGTGATACTATCATTCAAATGTAGCCTTCTTTTTCTTGAAAATCGTAGGCTGCTCTTCTGTCTCCTGGCTGGGCCATTTCCCATTCCCAAAGACGTTTGTTTTTTACTCATTTTGGTAGCTCCTGGGTTTCATCTTAGCGGCAACCTATCACGTGATCGAGAAGCGCGCCTTGACCTGCGTCAAAAGTGACATACTGTAGACTCATGCAACAGAGAATCCGGTATTTTTTCAAAATAAAATATGTTTCGGATTCCAAAATAAATAAAAAGGAAGGAATGTAAGTTATTTATTCTCACTGTGCCACCCGGTACCGGTCCGCAGCCCGGGGGTTGAGGACCGCTGCTCTAAATGACATCCAATACGAGTGCTAAAAACTATCAGAGCCTTTGAAACGTTTTAGATAATACCTTTTTAATTGCCTTTCAGGTGGAAAATCCCAGTTTGCCAAATGATGAAGGCATCACTCCTCTCCACAATGCTGTTTGTGCTGGCCACCACCACATTGTCAAGTTTCTGCTGGACTTTGGAGTGAATGTGAATGCAGCAGATAGTGATGGATGGTCAGTACCTTCAGTTAGTCACACATTTGGTAATAGCATTTGCATTCGACGTGGACGGTACTATATTAAATGTCGAACAATGGTAGCTGGAAAAATATGGGGCTACAATCATAATTGCATTTCTGAGTCCATTTTGACCAAGCTAACTGAGCAACATCAAAGGGAGAGATGGGGATCTGCATTTACCAGGTGTTTGGTTCAATAACCACTGCATATAACTTACATTAACTCCAACACCAGCATGCTCACGCAGCGATCCTGTATGCAATGTTTAAATCAATGTCATCGTACACTATGATTAGAGCTGAGTAGCCAAAAAGTGTACTCCGGTAGAGACAACTGTTACTTTAGAATAATATGACTCAAGTTGAAGTAGAGTAGTCCTCCAAATAATTACTTACGAGTAAAAAATTACTCAGCAAAAAACTGCTAAAGTACTGAGTAACTGTGAGTAACCTCTGATTTGTATTTAATTGATTGTTGACCCTCAGATTTGGTTTTAAGAGAATCAATGTAACAAAAATAAATAAAAATAACTACCGTATTTTCCGCACTAAAAGGCGCACCTAAAAGCCTTCCATTTTCATAAAAGCTGACAGCGCGCCTTAAAATCCGATGCGCCTTGTATATGGTCATTACGGTAATATTTCGTGACTTGCCGTATATTTGACTGTATCAAGACCCCAAAATGGCTCCTTGCAAGAGACATGCTTACAACGCAGAGTTCAAACTTAAGGCGATCAGTTACGCAGTTGAACACGGAAATAGAGCAGCGGCGAGAGAGGTCAATGTTAACGAGTCAATGGTGCGGAGGTGGCGGAAGGAACAAGATGCCCTGTGCCAGGTAAAGAAGACTAAACAGAGCTTCCGAGGAAACAAAGCACGATGGATGGCCACAGTTGGAGGACCTACTCGAACAGTGGGTTGTTGAGTAGAGGGCAGCAAGTAGAAGTGCCTCTACAGTCATGATTCGAATAAAGGCAAAACCTCTGGCACAGGAACTTAAAATAAATGAATTTAGTGGCGGTCCTTCTTGGTGCTTTCGGTTTATGAAAAGATGTCATCATCCGCGCACAAACCACTGTTTCGCAGCAACTGCCTCAAGACTACCAAGAAAAGCTGGCCACTTTCCACGCACAGTGCAAAAATAAGATCACTGCAAAAAAAATCCGACCAGAGCACATCGTCAACATGGACGAAGTTCCACTCACCTCTGATATTCCTGTGAACCGCACTGTGAATAAAACGGGTGCACGTATGGTGAATGTTCGCACCACAGGGAATGAGAAAGCATCCTTCACTGCAAACAGTAGAAAATAGGCTATGTGGTTCTGCAAACCAAATTCAAATGTAATAGGATTTTTTTTTCATACTCGTGGCCTTTACATCTTTATGTCCTACTTTACTCACGTTTTGGTGGTTCCTTTATCCTCAGGACGCCTCTACACTGTGCCGCTTCTTGTAACAGTGTCCATCTCTGTAAAATGCTGGTCGAATCAGGGGCAGCCATTTTTGCCCAAACCATCAGTGATGTTGAAACAGCGGCAGACAAATGTGAAGAAATGGAGGAAGGTTACACACAGTGTTCTCAATTCCTTTATGGTAAGTACTGAACATAACACAAGTAGGATGTGAATCAAAATAGAATTTAGCTGTTGAATCAAAAGATCTAATTCACTCAGATTATATGGCAAAGATACGTTGCGTAAGGACATCCTCGGTCTCAGAGTGTGTCTTTGTGTCAGGTGTTCAGGAAAAGTTGGGCGTGATGAACAAAGGCTTGGTCTACGCGCTCTGGGACTACACAGCCCAGCAAGCTGATGAGCTAACCATCAGTGAGGGGGACTCGCTCGTCATACTGCGACGGCGTGACGACACCGAGACGGATTGGTGGTGGGCTCGACTCAATGACCGTGAAGGATATGTTCCCAGAAACTTGCTCGGGGTATGACACTGTACAGCTCAGTAACATCTAAAATCGTATTTTACTTGCTAATCATATTCATTTGGCATAGCCACACATTGATTAAGGTTGAGAGTTTGAGTTTCAGTTTTGCGTGTTATAGGTTCTCTTCACTTTGACTGTATATGAGGCTCATTAAATAAATAAGGTGAACTTCTAATACAGATGGAAGGTTACTCCCAGCACTGTCACACACTTATCGCATCGATGCACAAGCTTCCATATTCCATCCATCCATCCCTCCATTTTCCTATTCGCTTTATCCTCACAAGGGTTGCGGGGGGTGCCCGAGCCTATCCCAGCTATCGTCGGGCAGTAGGCGGGGGACACCCTGAATCGGTTGGCAGCCAATTGCAGGGCACACACAGACAAAACAACCATCCACGCTCACACTCACCCCTACGGACAATTTGGAGTGGCCCATTAACCTGCCACGCATGTTTTTGGGAGAAGGGAACTGGAGTACCCAGAGAAAACCCACACAGGCACGGGGAGAACATGCAAACTCCACACAGGGAGGCCGGAGCCGAACCCTACACCGACCTCTGCACTGTGAGGTTGACGTGTTAACCACTGGACCACCGGGCGCCGCTTCCATATTCCCTCAGTGTAAAAAAATCTTGGGACTGATACCTCAGCCAGTCGCTCACAGCACTTTTGACTACATCGTCACTTTCAAACTTTATGCCTCTCGTGAACGCTTTTAAGCGACCAAACAGGTGAACGTCTGAAGGGGCAAGGTCTGGGCTGTAAGGGGGATAAGGGAGCAGTTCCCAGCCCAGTTCCTTGATTGTCTGCACCGTTTGGGCTACTGTGTGAGGCTTTGCGTTTTCATGATACGAAATGACTCCTTCTGACGGATGACCCCTGCGTTTGTTCTTGATGTCTTTCTTGACCTGCCTTACTAGTTCACAGTAGTTGGCACCAAGTTTGAACATGACGAAGTCAAAAGTGTTGTCAGCGACTGGCTGAGACACTGAGACACCAGTCCAAAGATTTTTTGGCTGATGGAATATGGAAGCTTGTGCACAGATGAGAAAAGTGCATCAAAGTACTGGGAGACTACATTGAAAAAGTTAAAAAAAAAAAAAAAGTTAGCTTTGATCTGTATTAGGCCAAACAAAAAAGAAAGAAAAAGAAAGAACCCTATGCTGAAATTTCAGCATAGGGTCGGTAGGTAGGACAAAGGTTTTTTTATTTTTAATCTCCCCCCCCCATCAAAAATTTAAACAAAATAACCATAAAACATAAAACAAGAAGACATTGAACCCGCCGCTCCGCGGCCGGCGCCGCCGCCACCGATTTAGTTTTCTCCCCGCTCCAGACTCGGAGGGGCCAGTGCGCGCCGCCGCCTCCGCCGCCGTCCTCCTCCGCCGTCCTCCTCCGCCCTCGGTTTTTACTCGGCCCGTGGTGTTCATCAAATAGTTCGCTGAATTTTTTCGCTGTAAAGCCTCTACACAAAAATGTAGAAGGTTGTTTGAAAAAAAAATGCCGACCGTAAAGTTTTTTTTCGACGTAGAAATTCTCGGTTGGTCGGGTTACCGGAAACACACTACTTTTTTTTCTACGCCTTAGAACAGGGGTGACCAAACTCTTTGGACCGAAGATCTACTTTTCGTTCAACCAACCTCCCCGGATCGCCCCTTACCGCGCACGCACACACACACACACACACACACACACACACACACACACACACACACACACACACACACACACACACACGCGCGCCGCATGAAACGAAGCCAAACACGGAACCAAGCGATGCACTTTTGCAGCCTGTTGACTATCTTAGCTCACACGTACTGTTTTAAAGTGCTTCCCTTAGCCCTCTAGATTCCTATTCTTTGCCCGTGCCCTCGGTGAATTGCACACGAAGAAAACTCTGAATGAGAATAATGACGATCAAAGATATAGCACAACAGCTCTGATCACAAGCTGCAATTGCAAACTGCTGAGTGTTAACAACTTCTGCTGACGTAGTCACGCGCCACCGTAGGTTATAGATTTATATGCTTTATTTTATTTTATTTTTAAAATCTTTCTTTGGGAAAATGAGACTGATAGGATGATTAGGGTGCAGTGTGCATTAACACAAAAATATATTACTAACATGTTCAAAGACACACAAATGTTTTATTTTTTTTTTCTCTTCTACACCTTTCGGATCTAATTGGGACGAGTCCTAGATCTACCGGTAGATCAGGATTGACGTAATGGGCACCCCTGCCTTAGAAGTCTTTATACTGAAAAATTCACCTTATTTATTTATGGAATGACCCTGGAACAGTTCAGAGTTGAAGATGTCCATCTGGTGTTGGCTTTTTTTGCAGTATGTAGTGCATTTATTGTTGTGCAGTCTATCATCATATTCACTCGCTGTGTTTGTCTCCAGCTATATCCAAGGATCAAACCCAGACAACGTTCCCTGGCCTGAAGCTCAGATCAACATCCTTGTGCACATTCATCGGCAAGCACATCAAGGAGAGAAAGCAATGTGTGCTTTAGGTGGAGCTATGCAGTCGAGATTCAAATTAGATGAGAAAAAAAAAATTACCCAACTGTCCCTGAACACTTACACGTTAGGTTAACATTTTTGGATGGTGTTTCAATGGAGAGTTGATATTTTGTCATTTTAAAATGACTATTTTTGTACAGTTTTCCCAGAATTATAAACTCCCAAGTGGCTACCGTTATTATCATTCTGTGAGCTTCACAGTATATAGTCCGTAACCTTTTTTTTTGCCTGTATGTGTAAATGTAACATATGGAGGAATGTTTGTGACAAGGGTGACGTGGATGTGATGATTCACAATGTGCCGGGGTGGATGAATGCAAATATTTGGTTGACTTTAACGAAGGTGAGACATTGTTGGTTCTGAGGTTGCAGTTGAAGCAGTTCTAAAAAGGAAATTAAGATTTTTCTCCAACAAGCATGCACTGAGGGTTGCCACACAGAGCATGATAAAAGGGACCCAACACACTACAATGTTAACTCGCGTATCTGCCCCCGAACTTTGCAGAGACTACTGAGGAGATGAAGAACCAAAGGAAAATAAGAATGTGGTTGAGAGTGTTTTGAAGACAGATTTGTAAAACCAAAATACATTTCGAGAGTTTGGAGTTGCAGTTCATTTGACAAACAGATGAATTTGTTCGTGTTTTTTTTTCTTACAGCATTGCGAATACCGGGACAATACTAAACAAATTATAAGACTCTGAGTCAAGAGTTTTTTTTTCTCCCACATATGTTGGGAAAACATGTAATACCACATCTCTGTGAAGTGTATGGTAACAGAAAAAAATGTTTTCTTGCTTTAATGATGGACCTTCTATTAAATTGTATTATTCAATCACCTATCCAGCATCATGAAGTGCTTTAATGTGGACTATTTCAACATCAGTGAGCTCTGTACGTTTAGAATGTTGCACAATAGTGAGGAACTTGAGAAATGATTTCACTTGGTATCCCCAAAATTGAGCCAACATATTGGGCTTCCCTGAGAAAGCAGAAATGAACCAAACATGCAGTGATACATTTTTTTCTCTTCATTAATTCAAGTTCATAACGATGCTCTGCATGTATACTCTGCAGTTTAAATTAAAGAACTGCAACAATTTTGCTCTCATTTTTCACGGGCTGAACTGAAAGACTTTCTTCACATCTACAAAAGGTTCATTTCCTTCACATATCGTTTACAATCCTGTCTAAATCTGTGTTGACACCTCTCCTTTGCCCAGATAATCCATTCACCTCACAGGATGCTGATTTGACAACGTGATTATTGCACACGTGTAGCTGAGGTTGCCCGCAACATAAGATCACATTCAAATTTGCAGTTTTACCTACCGTAGGGCAGTGGTCCCCAAACCTTTTATGCCCCACGGACGCAATGTCAGACAACATTTTCAGAGACCGGCCTTTAAGGTGTTCATTCATTCATTTTCCGAACCGCTTGATCCTCACTAGGGTCGCGGGGGGAGCTGGAGCCTATCCCAGCCGTCTCCGGGCAGTCGGCGGGGGACACCCTGAATTGGTTGCCAGCCAATCGCAGGGCACACAGAGACGAACAACCATCCATGCTCACACTCACACCTACGGACAATTTAGAGTGTTCAATCAGCCTACCATGCATGTTTTTGGAATGTGGGAGGAAACCGGAGTACCCGGAGAAAACCCACGCAGGCCCGGGGAGAACATGCAAACTCCACACAGGGAGGCCGGAGCTGGATTCGAACCCGGCACCTCTGCACTGTGAAGTCGACGTGCTAACCACTGGACTACCGGGCCGCCCGGCCTTTAAGGTGTGGTGGATAAATACAACAAAATAATTTGATTTGACCCGCATGAAAACTGGTATTTTCGAAACATTATAATAGGCGCGGGCGTGCTGGATCATGTCCCAGCTGTCTTCGGGCAGTAGGCGAGCACACCCTGAACCGGTTGCCAGCCAACCGCAGGGCATCCCCCTTTCACTTAGCCTATTTTTCTACATTCGATAATTAAAACTCCTCTTGAATGCGGTTACTGTAAACAAAATTTGAGTGACAATTGTCTTTAAATGAATTTGAAGTTTTTTAAGGCATGCGAAGTCAATTAACCTGTCACAGCATTTCAGCTGACACAGGCACAGCGCGTCGCATAAGCAGATCACGCACTGAGGGTAGGGCACCAAGAACCTGCGGGGCCACCCAAAAAATCAAACTCGTAAAAAATGTATAACAATAGGAATTACAACCATAAAGAATCGAATATTTATAATAACGTTTTGTAAATACGTAATACAAAACTAACACAGGCTTAATTACACAAAAAACGATGATTCTCCTGTGCTGACTTCTCGTCACTCTTCCTTTTGTGCTCCGCAACCCCCCTATGTCATTCGTGAGTGGTTTGCTCCATTATGCTCAAATCGCTAATTTAGCATAATTTTATTTTTGGATATCTGGACACGTGGTCGAAAAGGCACCAAGAGTCGGCGGCGCCAAAAAATATAAAAAGTAAAAAAGAGCGAGATCAATGTTTTAAATAACAATTGTTTATTTTGTTACAGACATTTTTAGATGACCACAATAACCACAGTCACGTTTAGATGATGCGTTTAAATGTACTTCAGTCATGCAATAATCTGAAAAACCTGGTTTCCACGGTTCGGTCAATAGTTCGATTTCTTTCCCAATACATCTCGTAAACACCGGCACATTTATTACGTTATGAAAATTATATAGAATGTTCCATGACAAAGTTTTTTAATATGCAACGACTATGCCGGCATTTTTGAGAGGTTCATAGGGCAAGAGCGACATCTATTGGTGAAACTGTAATTTTGAAAAAAAAATCGATATTAAAGCTGTGTCGATTTCATATTCACCGTTTCCACATTATTATATTTTAGGTAGAACGCTGAAATGTTCATATAGCCGTGTTTTAAACATAGGACAACAAAATAATTAATTTAGAAAATGTTTTTACCATGGTTCAAAACTATATTTCACTGTAGAATCCTTGGATAGTTTATCTTGTACTTCTGAATACAGGATCAATGCTTCAATATGTTCAAGGAGGAACTCAAGGCCAAGTGTAAATTTCAGATGATTAACCACGCAACCACAAGTAGTAAAGATCAGCCATCAATCAGCAGGTCCAAAGGCTTTGCAGTAGGATCTGTGGGGGACAAGTTTATAGCTCATCATACGTGAAATTGATAAATGCGTACGTGTAGTGCCCAAGATATAATCTAGGGCTAGACCATGTACAATGGCCACTGCAGTGGCAACGGGGAATTGCTGCCCTCGAATGAAGTCAAATGGCATAAACTGTGTGTGCGAGTCTACGGAGCTCCAATCAACCATCAATGCGAGTGGAACAGCCTCCATTTCAGTTTGGTTCCAATCATAATCTGAGCGATTTTAGACTACAAATTTTGGTTCATACCCTCCCTCTTGTCCTGAGACTGGTGGTGATTCATAGTTCCAAAAGTGTGTTTCAAATGAATTACGGCTTCTACTTTTTGCAGATGTTCATTCTCGAAATGCCAGCCAATGCCAGAACCAACACGTCTCGGAAAGCAATGAGTCGGAATGTGGGTAGCCAATACCTTAACGAAGGAGGCTGCATCTTGCCTTTTGCAGTGGTAGTCCTCTGGCCAGCAAGTGTAGACATCAACAATTATCAACAGGTATTGCTGACCTTGAACTCGAGTCACCATTTCATTGATCTGAATTTCCTCTCCAGGGAGATGAGGCAGCAGAAAAGTCCCCTGGAGAGGTCTCATGGTAGACTACAAATTTTGGTTCATACCCTCCCTCTTGTCCTGAGACTGGTGGTGATTCATAGTTCCAAAAGTGTGTTTCAAATGAATTACGGCTTCTACTTTTTGCAGATGTTCATTCTCGAAATGCCAGCCAATGCCAGAACCAACACGTCTCGGAAAGCAATGAGTCGGAATGTGGGTAGCCAATACCTTAACGAAGGAGGCTGCATCTTGCCTTTTGCAGTGGTAGTCCTCTGGCCAGCAAGTGTAGACATCAACAATTATCAACAGGTATTGCTGACCTTGAACTCGAGTCACCATTTCATTGATCTGAATTTCCTCTCCAGGGAGATGAGGCAGCAGAAAAGTCCCCTGGAGAGGTCTCATGGTTGGCCAAACATTGTATAGCTGGCACACATCGCATTTGTTAATACTCTCGATCATGCTGTGCATATCTGGATGCCACCAATGTGTGAGTGAGTGTGTCTGTCATCTGTGCCTTACCCACGTGGGCCGCCCCATGGGCTTCCTCCACCAGGACACAAAACCTGCCTGCCAAGTTAATAGGGCGTCCATCTGGGTGATGCCACAAGCCTGTGGCACCCTGGTAGGCTTTGCTCACCTTCAGGCAGTTCTCTCTTTGGGCGATGCACGCTTTTGATCCTCAAACAGTGTTTCTAACACGCCTTTTGGGAACAACGTGACAAATCCCACTTCTACATTTACCATTTGGCACCCTGGGTGGTCTGCAGCTGTCTGTTTTGCCACGACATCGGCGACCTAATTTCTCTGTTCGACCCACCTGTTCCTTTGCTGTGCCCTTTACACTTGATTACCGCCATCTTGTGATATTTCATCAATGCTTTCCGCAACCGAATAATCTCATTCTGATGTTTGATTGGGGTCCCTGTCATGGTCAGGAAGCCGACCCTCAAAACCACGGAGTCAGCTCCACATGTGTAACACCACAAATTTACGCCCGAGTCTGTAAAAATGTTGACAATTTTCAAGCGCTCTTATCACTGCTCTCAATTCAGTCCACTTGTCCCATTGCTTCCCCTCCATTATCTCTGCCTCACTAACTGCAGCCAATCCTGACCATGTTGCTGTACTACTGCTCAGGCTGCTTGCAAACCCCTACTCTTGGGATGTCTGAAACAGCAACCGTCTGTGTACAATGTGATCTCAGCATCTGGCTACTGAATACCTTGCAAGTGTGGCAAGTGGACTGTTCCATTCTTCACGCAGCACATTCATGGTGATCCTCCTGGATAGTGTCTGCCATGTTGGTGTCTTCGTGTATGTATGTGCCGTGTGGCAGAGCCAACATTTTTTCCAGATGGCTGTGTCTCGGAGACGACATTGTGAATGCTGCCCAAGTTACGTAAGCCATTCCACCATGTGTTGTGAGTTGAAAATTTCAGGTGACAACAAAAAGCTTGGAGGCAGTTGTGTGTATCGCAACTGCCCGCCGTCATAGGTGAATGAAAAAATGTTCCGCATCTCTCCTGCAAGCAGCAAGCAAAAGAAAGTATTTGCCAAGTCAGTGACCGTAAAAAATGTCTGTGTGTAATCTAGCACAGTGAGAGCTGTAAACGTGTTTAGGACCGGAACAGTAGGTGTGGTGACATTCGACTTCGTACGTCTGAGGTCGTGCGCCATGCAATACTTTCCCACAGCTTTCTCTACTGGCAAAATGAGTGTATTTCAGGATGACGACAAGGACTCCAGAATCCTGGCCCTCTTCAGCCCAGCATTCCTCTCCGGGATGCCCTACGCAGGCTCCGGACTTCGTCGATACTGGTTCTGTCAGATGGGCGCAGAGATGGAAACTGGGGGTCACGAGGGAGATTCTGGAGCAAATCCCAACATCGGAGGTGCCCTGAGTCCACTGTCCCTGCGGCCACAACGCAACCATGGCTTTGCAATCAGGGTGATTGATGCGTTCTTTCTACACCGTGGCCTTACATAATTTGTTGATGTTCCAAAATGAAAGCATTTTGGGTGTATGCCCCAATTCGATAACCAGAAAGAGTAGCTAAATGGTCAACATGTCCGATGTGGTTGGGGTCCAGTCAGATGCCTTTTACACACTACTTAATCATGGGTCGCAAATCCTTGGTCTGATGATGGCCGATGTCATCGGTGGTTCAGCGGTTCGGTTACACTCATCTCATACCATTCTTTCTGCTCCAGAGCAAATGATGATGTGTTCATAATACAAACGTGGAATGAAGCGGCTCAATAGGTGGATTCAACGGCTGGAGGCTCGTAAACTGGAAAGTGGTATACAGTACACGCCATTTACGAGTGGGGACTCGGCAATCAGACTCGAAGGTCGGAAACGTCTGACTCACTTTGCTCTGACGCGGTATTTGTTCGATTGTATTTGCCGTAGTTAATGATCAAAAGCTTCTAACCTTCTGCGCACGCGCAAATCACAAGGCACGCGCGTATGAGTGTGTGTCTGTGCGTGCGCCTGGGTGTGTGTGTGTGTTTCTCCCCCAACATCTTGTCTCGGTCGCAGATGGTGCATTGACCGCTGTCAAACCAGCCGCCACAACGCAAAGTTGAAGTCAAGCCAGCCGCCACAGCGATTGTAAATACTGTATCGTTACGGTAATCTGCCGCCATCTTGACAGCAATGTTACTCACAGTCTCTCGCGGTCTTTTACGCCGGCCGATTTGGTTGAATCCAAAACACAGCATATCATGGCGATTGATAGTAAATCGAAATTAAACGTCTTTAACTATTTGGGGGCCGGCGGCATGCGAACCTCCGCTCGCAATGACAGCATCGAACTCTCAAATGTACTCGCTGTATGCTGGCATCACGTCCAGTAAACGTAAATTACTTTGTAAATGAATGCTACTACATTTGTGTCAAGTGTCAGCGAAGCGATCAACTCACCACATTTGATTGAATGAGCCATTGGCAGTTTCACGGTGCATGCGTGTCCGAGTAGTGACAGGGGCGTGCACGCCTTCTTTGAACCTTAACTTTTTTGACAGACAACAAAAAATCACAACTGTAACTAAGTGCTGAGTAGAATGAGTGAACAAAATACAATAGAACGCCTTTATTAACACTGTTTAGTGTAGACGTAGCGAAATTGTGGTTATAAAAAATTAAGAGACAACGAATAATAATAGTAATGACAAGCATTACTGTCCCACTAACTGCCACTGCCAGGATGAGGCTTGAGTAACGATGGGCAACTGAAGCCCTGCGACCACGCTTTAAGTGGCCCCTTGGTTAAACCCTCCCCATTTATATATATATACATATATATATATAT